TTCAACAAACTGATGCAGCACTGGAGGCATTCACTCACCTATGCCGAGAAATTTGGAAGACCTGGCCAACTGATTAGAAGAAATTCATATTTGTGCCCATTCTGTTGGGTAACCTCTCTTTGGTTTCTGATGACATCTGCTGGTTTCTGATGACATCTACTTTTTTCACTGTCACCAGGCTGGATTGAATGGAGATACTTATTTCATCTACAGGTATGTTCTGGTTTTGGTCTACTTCTGAGAAATGGAGGTATGCCATGCTTAACTTCTAAGCCCATACTTTTGTTGGACATTCAGCTTTTGGCTCACATCATGTGTTCTAACTTAGTGAGTCCTATACAAGGATTTGTTGTTATTGTGTGCCGTGGAGTTGGTTCCGACTCATAGCTGCCTGTACAGGGTTTCTGAGGCTGTAAATCTTTACGGCCTCTTGTTTGAACAGAACAAGGGAACACAAAATGGTTTAAAAATTTAAAAAAAGGTGTGCAACAAGGTTGTATTCTTTCACCATACTTATTCATCCTGTATCTGAGCAAATAATCGGAGAAGCTTGGTGATATGGAGAAAAACGTGGCATCAGGATTGGAGGAAGACTCATTAACAACCTGTGATATGCAGATGATACAACCTTGCTTGCTGAAAGTGAAGAGGACTTTAAACATTTACTGATGAAGATCAAGGAACACAGTCTTCAGTATGGATTGCATCTTAATATAAAGAAAACAGAAATCCTCACCACTGGACCAATAAACAACAATCTTATCAACAGAGAAACGACTGAAGTTGTCAAGGACTTCATTCTTCTTGGATCAACTATCAACACTCATGGAAGCAGCAGTCAAGAAATCAAAGGACGCATTGCATTAGGCAAATCTGCTGCAAAAGACCTTTTTAAAGTGTTGAAGAGCAAAGATGTCAGCTTGAGGACTAAGGTGCACCTGACCCAAACCATGGTGTTTTCAGTAACCTCATATGCATGCGAAAGCTGGACAGTGAATAAGGAAGACCATAGAAGAATTGATGCTTTTGAGTTGTGGTGTTCAAAGAGAATATTGAAAGTGCCATGGGCTGTCAAAAAAACCAAAAGATCCGTTTTGGAAGAAGTGCAGCCAGATTGCTCCTTGAGGCTAAAATGGCCAAACTTCGTCTCTCATACTTTGAACATATTGTCAGGAGGCACCAATCACTGGAGAAGGATATCATGTCTGGTAAGGTGGAGGGTCAGAGAAAAAGAGGAAGACCCCCAACAAGATGGACTGGCCAAGTGGCAGCATCGACGGACTCAAGTGTGGCAACAGTAGTGAGGTTGGCCCAGGATCGGACAGTTTTTAGTTCTGCTGTGCATAAGGTTGCTATTGGTCGGAACTGATGGCATGTAACAATAACAACAACAACAAATCTTTACGGGAGCAGAAAGCCTCATCTTTCTCCCTCGGAACAGCTGGTAGTTTCAAACTGCTGAACAAGAGATTAGCAGCCCGATTCGTAACCACTACGCTAAAAGTAAATCAAGTCTGAATATGTCTCTGATCAGTAGATGGCTGCAGACAAGTTCTCCCAGTAAAACACTTGTCTTAGTCTCATTAAGGTACCTCCCCCAAAATGGTCCAATCAAAACAGTGGCTTCCAAGGGGATCTACTGGGCCAGTTAAATTCAAGACAGTGGTCAGCTTAGAAGGTTATGGCAACTGATTTTTGGTGTTTCAAAGGGGGTAATCATGATAGATTTTCTCAAAGGTCACAGGACCATCATGGGGACTTATGATGAAGAAGTTTTAAGAAAACTAAAAACTGCATTTGGTAAGAAAAAAGGTCAGGAAAGGTGTGCCAAGAATTTTTCCCCATCACAATGCACCTGATCATTTTTCAAGGGTAGTAAAGACTGTCCTGGAGTCCTGGTGTGGCGCTGTGGGTTAATGCGCCAGACTTCGAAGCCATTTGAACTGTAACGTTGGCTGTTCAAGCTCACTAGCTGCTTCTTGGAAACCCTATACAGGGTAGCTATGGGTCGGAACCAACTCAACGGCACTTAACAACAGCAACAACAAGGACTGTCCTATGAGAAATCATTGGGAAACTTTATCCTATTCACAGCCTGATCTCATCCCTTCAGATGGCTTTTTATTCTTCAATCTCAAAGAGCATTTAAAAGGAATATGATTTGAGTCCCTTGAGGATGCCAATACTGCCTTTGTGACGTGGTTTAAGTCAAAGAGTACAGAATTCTTCATGAAAGTGTTACAGAGATGGAAACACTGCCATCGGATGTGTATAAACCTACATGGAGTATATGTTGAGAAACAATAGCTTCACATTTTGATATTTTGTTTGATAAAATTTCTATGATTTTGTAGCAATACCTTTTGACTTCCCCTTGTAAAGTCAAAACTGGGATAAAACTATAAGAAAAGCAGGAGGTGATCAACACAAAGGTCAGGTTAAGTGACCTACATCTAGGAAAAAGTAGAGTTTCCAGCTTTGTCAGTGTTCTATAGTTTAACCTGAGAGGTGGGTACATGGATATTTATTTCATGGTTCGTCTTTGAGAAGTTAATATATTTAAATTCTATTCAGTCTTCTGTATATATAAGAATTTCACAAAGAAAACACATTAACTGGAAAAAAAAAGTAACAATATTATATACAAATTACGATAATATGAAAAAGATTTGAAAGTAATCACTCACGTGAGAGTTCTGTTGTGCCAGAGAGGTGGTGTGATAAACTCAAAACACCAAACCCACTGCCTTCCAGTCGATTTCAATTCATAGTGCCCCTACAGGGCAGAGTAGAACTGTCCCACAGCACTTCCTTACGGAAACAGCATGTCACATCTTTCTCCTGGGGAGCAGCTGGCAGGTTCAAACCACCAACTCACCAGTTAGCTGCTAAGTACCTAACTACTGTGTCACTCCTTGATTACTACCACAGTACGTTCTTTTCCAATGTTCTAAGTTACATTTCATACACCTCAACACTGATCTTACACTTTGCAAATCTAAATCTATTAAGGGACAGCAAGGTGTAGCACTGTGGGTTAATGCGCTAGCTAGACTACAAGGTCAGTTTGAATTGCAAGGTCGGTGGTTCAATCTCACCAGCTGCTCCTTGGAAACCCCATACAGGGTAACTATGAGTCAGAACTGACTTGACGGCACTTAACAACAACAACAATACCAAACAAACCTCTCAACTGACTATTAATTTAAAGCAATTTCACAATAATGTCTTTTCTGAACAACTAATATTACTTGAATAAAAACAATAAACAGATGAAATATCTGAGGTTAGATCAAAGGATAATAAACTTCACTATTAATTCCTAAAAATCTGCTTCTTAATAGGCTTTTTTTTTTTTTAACTCAGAAAAAGTTTATTACAATATTGCTCCAAAATGATAAGGTTGCTAGTAAACTAGTGAACACTTTGCAAAGAAAGCTATTTGGAAGAACTAGCGTGTTATTTATTTATTTATTTTTAATGTTTTATTGTGAATTATGTGACAGTTTACATGGGAGAACATAAGTTTTACATTTATCCTATTGTATATAGTTTCTTAATAGGCTTTTTATTCAATTTATTTAATTTTAAAACTTCCTAGAAAATATAGGAAGTTTAAGTAAAAAAATGTGTTTTGGACTTTGAAATGCTTCAAAGTGAACACTTAATAGAACACTTTCTATTATTTCCAGGTAAACAATTCACTGAAAATAGGTACCTTTTTAATCTACATTTCCACTATCTTCAGTGATATAAAAATTCCTTACTAATAGTAATTCCAAGTAGATAAGCCCACAGGAATACATAAATCACTATCCACAGTACAGTTTCTGAACTTGATTTGCTTATTAAATTAATTGTCTTGGATTAATTATTAAAGCAAGTTGCTGCTATGTGCCATCGATCTGTTCAGACTCATAATGACACTGTTTAGGGTCTCCAAGGAACGACTGGTGGGTTTGAACCACCAGCCTTACAGTTATCAGTTCAGTGCTCATCATCCAGTACCATACCAGGACTCCTAAAATAAATTAAGCTACACTAATTGAATAAACTGGAAAGAGCAAAGCTTAGCCTAAAACCAAAACTAACTACAGAATAATATTTCTTTAATGTACAAATGAATCTCCTGGGATCCTATTAAAATACAGTTTCAGGCCTACTAGGTTTGGGATTAGGGCCTGAGATTCTGCATTTTTAAAAAGCTTGTAGGTGATGATATTATTACTTAATTTCAGAATACATTGGTCTGCTATTTTGATAATGTTTTTTGGAGCACAGTCATACCCAATTAAAGATGCTTACTTGCATGCTACAAAGATAGACCTGTATAACTGCAAGACAGACCAATACCCACACTGTTGCTATTGTTAAGTGTCATGGAATCAGTCTGATTCATAGCGGCCCTGTACAGGGTTTCCAAGGATTTAAAATCTCTGCAGGAGCAGAAAGCCTCATCTTTGTCCCGTGGAGCAAGTGCTGGAGTCAAACTGCGGACCTTGTGGTTCGCAGTCCAGTGGTTATCATTTGGAGCCACCACACTCTGATACCTACATACCTGAAAATATTGACTATTTGAACTTTTACAAAAAAAGTTTGCTGACCCCTGTTATAAATAATATCCAAAAGTGACTATCGGAATGTGGGAACTAAGAATAAAATAGAAGTGTCACTCCCTGTCATGGTTTGGTGTCGATATTAATTCAGAGTAGATAACCCCACAGAAATAGATTAAAATATAAAATTTCTGCTTTAAAAAAATTTCAATTTACTATATCGAACGAAGAACCACTCACAAGTTCGACAGAAACAAAATGTGTGTCTTTATTTGCCATGCAACTGCCTCCACCACCGAAAATCACTACATTTTAAAAAATGAATAATAAGCACTGATTAAGAGACTAAGCAAATTATAAAGAGTAAAAGTCCTGACAACATTAACAATGAACAACTAGAGTCTTGATTTAATGATTTTCCAAGCAGCGTATCCCATTACTTACTCTTGTCAAATCCATGCCCAGCTTGAGCTGTGACAGGAGATGCAGGATAACACTGCGCTGCTCTTCCACAGCCCCCAAGTCATCCTCCTTATCATCACAGGTATCCTCCACCTCATCGTCAGCATTTATTTCTTCAGGCTCCTGGATGCAAGACAAAGCAAAACTCGGGTGTTATGAACACTTGTTAATATCCATTAGAGAAATAAAAAGCCAGGACAGAAGACATTTTCATGGGACCTATAGAGTCCTGGTTTGGCACTGTAGGATAATGCTAGGTTGGCTTGAATCATAGGTCAACAGTTCAAGCCCATTAGCCACTCTTGGGAAACCCTATATAGGGTCTCTATGAGTCCGAAACAACTTCACAGCATTTAACAACAAGTAAATCTGAGAACAGGCAAAAATATTTTTCTGAAAATAAAATCTACATCCCTTGACATAAAATAGATTATTTTCATGTAATTTAGCACTGACACCGAACATATTCTGGTTTCAGTATATATAGCACATATAAAATACACATATATATTTGAAGTATTTTTTTTCCCTTTTTTTCAAACTGCATCCAGCTTTATTAAACATACTTTTCATAAACAATCATTGTATTCAGGCAGGGCATGGGAAGACAATTGTTAACAATAAACAACAACTTTCAAACTCCCTTGTTCAATGGACTACCAAAATCAGAAACGCACTATAAAACCCAGTGAAGTCTTCATCTGATGTTCTGAACAGGGAAAGTTTAGAGTAAAGGTTGATATTTCACATTTAGCATGTTGTTTAACAATTTTTCATGAGGTAGCTCTGCCTTTCAGAGAAGGAAATGTAAATGGAAGAATTACGAACCTGAAGACCCACAATTTAAACAAAGGAACTGCTCCACTTTTGCGGGGTGCCACTGAGATGAGGCATAAGGAATCTGTACCTGGATCAAGAGGCAGTTGATCGAACAGAGCATGGGAACACTGAATGGTTTAAAATTTAAAAAGGTGTGCGACAAGGTTGTATTCTTTCACCATACTTATTCAACCTGTATGCTGAGCAAATTATCTGAGAACCTTGGTTATATGAAGAAAAACGTGGTGTCAGGATTGCAGTAAGACTCATTAACAACCTGCAATATGCAGATGATACAGCCTTGCTTGCTGAAAGTGAAGAGGACGTCAAACATTTACTGATGAAGATCAAAGAGCACAGCCTTCGGTACGGATTATATCTCAATGTCGAGAAAACAAAAATCCTCACCACTGGACCAATAAACAACATTTTTATCAATGGAGAAAAGATTGAAGTTGCCAAGGACTTCATTCTTCTTGGATCAACTATCAACACTCACGGAAGCAGCAGTCAAGAGATCAGATTAGGCAAATCTGCTGCACAGGAACTTTTTAAAGTGCTGAAGAACAAAAACGTCAGCTTGAGGACTATGGTGCGCCTGCCCCAAGCCATGGTATTTTTAATAACCTCATAAGCATGCGAAAGCTGGACAATGAATAAGAAAGACTGTAGAAAAATTGATGCTTTTGAGTTATGGTGTTAGAGAAGAATACTGAAAGTGCCATGGGCTGCCAAAAGAACCAATAGATCTGTTTTGGAAGAAGCGCAGCCAGAGTGCTCCTTAGAGGCCAAGATGGTCAAACTTCGTCTCTCATACTTCGGACATATTGTCAGGAGGGACCAGTCGCTGGAGAAGGATATCATATTTGGTAAGGTGGCGGGTCAGAGAAAAAGAGAAAGACCCCCAACGAGATGGACTGGCCAAGTGGCAGCAGTAGTGAGGTTGGACCAGGATCGGGCAGTGTTTCGTTCTGTTGTGCATAAGGTTGCTATGGGTCGGTACTGACTAGATGGCACCTAACAACAAGAACACTGAGATGGCATCACTGGAAAAGTCCAGACTGCCTGACACATGAACAACCAGTTTTCTGAGGTCAGGTCCCAAGAGGTCTCTGGGTTTATGGGAGTCAAGTCTATGCTGAAGGCAGAGGGGGGAAGAAGACATGAAAACGTGAAAACAAATTCTACTTTTTCCACACCACACGGCATTTGTGCCAAGGTGGCTAATGTGTGTTAACGTCAGGGAATCCCTCCTCCTGGGAACCAAGAGGGAGTCTCTCAAAACTAGATGGGGAGAAAAAATAAAACAAACTAGATGGGAAAGGTGTTTGTTTCCATATCAGTCCAGCTTTGGAGACACTGTATTAGTGACACTTGCCCCTTTCCCAAAAATCAATGGTTTTCTGTTCTAACAACATAGCTTAAAAAAACAAAACAAAACTCTGCATTTTTATAAAACTTGGTAAAAATAGCATTTCAAACTGTCCAGTCTCCAGAGGTCCAGTTATCAAAATGCACTCACTTCACTTGGCATCTCCAGCACCTTCAGCTTTCTGTGCCTGATCTGTTTTGGCATCTCCATTTTCTTTAAGATTATTCCCATCCTGGCCACGATCAGCTTTCCCCTTTTTCCCTTTGGTTCCTTCTCTCCCTTCCTTGCAGGGACTTAGACTCTGGCTTCCGAGGAGGAGCAGTCTTTGCAGATAACCTTGTGGATCTCCTTTGAGGTTCATCCTTCACCTTGGCTTTTTCTCCCTTTAACATCCCCGTCAGCCTATATCTTGGCTATGGTGGCTAGGGTGACAGGGTGCAGGCACAGGCACTGGATTCAGGGATGAATGGGCTTGTGTCATTCTTGCCTCTTTTCCACACTGCTTTTTTAAGGGTTTTTAAAAACGAGTGTAGGATGTCTCAACAGAAACTCACCTGCCTGGGGATACTGCTATTATTGTTGTTAAGTGCTGTCAAGTTGGGCCCAACTCATAGCAACCCTATATAGGTTTTCCAGAGAGCAGTTGGTGACTTTGAACCGCTGACCTTGTGGTTCAAACCAACCTTGTAGTCCAATGCTTTATTCTACAGTGCCACACTACTACTTACCTGTAAATTATATTCAAGATGTTTTAAGAACAAAATACTTGCCTTTTTCAAGACTAAAACTATCTAAGTAAATTGAAATTTGGAAGGGACTGCACATGTCAAACCTATCCTGAAACATATATGTTTTGAAGGTCATTCATTCTTGGAGTTGTCAAGAAGAAACCTGGGGATTAAAGAGAATTTTAGGGGCAGGTATGAGACCCTGAGGTTTCTCATGTAGTCTTAATGTCACTAAAAAGTCCCTGTGTAGCTCTTGCATCAGTCAATAAAACAGCCCTTTCAAAATCTTTACTTTCATGTCAATGGGGTCATGGTTCCAAATAACTGCCTAAGACATAATTAATTTCTATTTAAACAATAGCATACGGTTTCAAAGCCCCCGATTCTATACAATTTTATCTACTGTCACGTTCCACATTTACTTGGGATGGCACACCTGTTAGTATCTTTGTGTAAAAGAGCTTAAATGAGAATATTATAATCTTTAAGGTTTTTAATTTAAGAGATTTAAAAAATATATATCTATGCTAATTTTTCTACCTTTGACTTTCTCTTTCCATAATAAAATCTTATCAAATAAAGAACCCATTGATTTTGTGTAGCTTGGCAAAAATCCTAATCAGGCACAAGATTGTTCTCAAAATAGTAAAAACAAAACATAATGGGTATCTGTTCATTGTTTTTGCCCTTATCTTTCTTTTTCCTCTTCTTCTACCAAGGAAATCTATCTCAGGTCAAATTCTAACAAGTCAACTACTAGTCTACTTCATTTCCTTATGTTAAGACTATACTTCTGTTTTCATTACCTTAAGAAGAGATTCCAGAAGCAATCTCAGTTCTCTTTCAATGGCTGGTATATCTGTCAGGATTTATTTTCTGTTCTCCAAACTAAACCAATTATACAACAGAGGTATGTTGTTGATAAGTGCCACTGAGTTGGTTCCAACCCATGGTGACCCTGTATATGGTTTCCAAGAACAGTTGATGAGCTTGAACTGCCGCCATTGTGATTGTGGGTTCAAACAGAGTTTGCAGTCCAGCACACAGTTCAGGTATATTTCTGAATATTTAAAACCCCAAACCAAAGTAGTAGCCATCAAGTTGACTCCCAACTCCTGGCAACCCCATGAGCAGCAGAGTAGAATGACACTACAGGGATTTCAAGGCTGTGACCATTTGGAAACAGAGGGTTTGAACTGCCAACCATTTGGTTAGTAGTGGAACACTTAGCCACTTGTGTCACCCAGGGATTCCTTCTGAATATTTACTAATCATTAGAGAATGGGGTGGGGATAGAATTGATCATCCACCTATCTACATTTGGATAACAAATATAATACAAATTCATTTGGGAAATGTTGAGAGACTAAACCTGTGAGGTCTTGATTGAGTAACGTTCTCCAACTCTCTGAAAAGATACCGTTACATTTGAGGTCAGAACAGAGGACATGGATTAATAATGCAAATTCAGCTGGAGTATTATACTATACAGTATAAAACTTACTTTATGGAAAATTTGGAAGCTCTCTTTTCTTTTTAAAAATTCCTCTTCATGCATTCCCCCACACCCCTCCCCCACACCTTTCTTAAAGAGAAGATCAAAGTGAAACATTACTCAAATTCAGATTAACACTCTCAAACACAAAATTCTAATCCAGTATGGTTAGCAAATGTAATGGAAAGAATTGTTGTTTCTAAGAATTTCTACATTAGGCAACCCTTGGGCAAAGAGTAACCTCGATATTTCACAAAATGCCTATTAATCTCATTTTTGTCCGCTGGATACTGACTTGGAGCACAGAACTGTGGGTTTCATTCTTGCCTCTCAGGGTTTACTCCACTTCATATAATAACTCATACAACTATAATGCAGGTCTCCAGCTTCTGTTGTATTAGCCCTCATGTCTCAAGAAAGACAAGTGTGAAACGCTTGGAAAGTTCAGGTCTATTGTGCTTGATGAAGTCACATGTATTTTGTAACTAGAAAACCATCTAAGCAGTGCATTATCCATTTACACTAGGCAATGCACCTTGTCTACTCACCATTTCAAAAGAACTGGGAATACACCAAACCTCTCCTTTTTGCCTGTGCCCCATTCTCTAACATACTTTCACCCTGATTTCTAATGTTTTGTGTACTCAGAAGAATCAAAATGTTAGCATATATGACTTTTACTTTATTTTTTTTTTTCACTTACAAGTTA